TAGCGCCTTTCACGTTTCATTGTATAGCGGAGGATGTCCCAAGGCGCTGAACAGTCATGGATTGAGTGACCAAATTATTATTTTTATATGTTTTTGATGGGATTATTACCCTCATTACAATTATTATTATAATTATTACAATGGCCTCTTTCACCTGGACCTGGGTTCAATTCCCAGACAATAATAATAATCCTTGCATTTGATATAGCGCTTTTCACGTCAGGAGGACATCCCAAAGCGCTTCACAGAACACACTGTAAAGTGAATTGACTGTATATTTGTGGGCGAACGCGGCAGTCAATTGCGCACAGCAATGTCCCACAAACAGTCGTAGATTGAAAATGACCAATTTATTATTGTTTTTGGTTTTGGAGGATTATTATTAGGCTCTGTGTGGAGTAAGGAAACTTGCCCAAGGTTTCACCCTCTGCCTGGAATTGAACTCAGGTCTCTCACTTGCAAAGCGAGTGCTCTAACCACTGAGCTACAGGACTCCACAATTCGGACAAAACGTTACGCAAGTTTCCTTACTCCACATGCTTCTGTTCATCTAGCAGCAAGAAGGAACCCAGTCGCTAGCCGATTAGCGGATCGCTTTTCCAGGGGTAATATTCCCCTCCAAAAAAATGATTTGTGCACTCAATCTATGACTGTTTGTGGGTTACTGCCGGGATCAAATGCTTGCCGCATTTCGCCCACAAAATAGAGTCACTACAGTTTACAGTATGTTGTGTGAAGCGCTTTGCAATGTCTCGAAGACGTGATCAGACGCTATATCAAATGCAAGGATTATTATTATTATTATTATTGCTACATATTAGCTTCAGGACATCAGTTCCACCAGAATAGGTAATCCAACTAAAGTGAAGCAGGTGGGTTGGAGTGACTAGTCCCAGGCTCGCAAAATAAACGGTTGCTGAATCTTCCCCCGGCGTTTGCTCTCCTCAGCCAATGCAATTCACCAGCAGGTCGCTGTGAAAGTCATTAAAGCAGTGCGACATTCAGTGAAATAAAACAACGCTGCAAGGTAACAACAGAGCGAGGTCGCAAACACCTTCAGTATTTAATAGTTTGTTGGCACTTTTCAGGCAGGCTGGTTTCCTGCGGTGTTCTACTCAAGAGCACATTGCTCAAGTAGGCCAGCCACATTGACGGACAGGACGAAGTGGGCTTGTGCTCACTGGAGGCAGCCACTGTCGATTAGGGTACAAATCTCCGTATCCCCGACTGATCCTGAGCATGACCAACACACTTCCACATTGGCTCCCAACCTCCAGTGTTGTCTCACCTTGTAGAAAATATCCAGAAATCAGCACTGAGCACCTCTAGGCTTCTGGTTACTGTGCACCCAACACAGGAGAGGCTGATTTGCAGATCTACTTGATGCAAAAGCTCCCTTAACTACATAATTAATTAGGTCCCAAACACATTCAGGCTCAGAAATGTCAATCCATCTCCCAAACACAAAGTACATGACAGAAACAAGCCATTTAGTCTATCAAGTGTACGCTGAGGGCTTTCCTCCACATGCACCTCCGTAGTCTAATCCCAATCTCCTGCTTGCTATCCTTTAAATCAATTTACCTAATTCCCTTTTAAATTTCAGGATTTTACAACTATAATAATCCTTGGGCAATTCACATCACAAGGACATGTCAAAGCATTTCACAGAATTTACTGCAAAGTAAAGTGATGGTTTTGCCGGCAAACCGAGGCTTGTGGAAAAATCCCACCTTCCGACCACCATCCGTGCTCAATTACTAAGGAGTTTAAAAAAACGCAGAATAAACATCCACAACAATAACTTGCATTTACACAGCGCCCTTCGCGCTGGGCAGTGTCTCGGAATGCTTAAAGTGGCGGAGCCTGACACCAAGCCAGGGGAGGAGGGAAGAGGTGACTATCAGCATGGTCGAAGAGAAAGATCTAAAGAGAACATGAATTCCAATACTTCGCAAACAGTTCCCAACAGTGGGGTGCCCTCTTTAAGATGCTGTTGTGGGGTGCGGTAAAGCATTTGGTTATAATAATAAAAATCCTTGCATTTGATATAGTGCCTTATCACGTCTTAGAGACGTCCCAAAGCGCTGCACACAATATACTGTAAAATGAACTGACTATATTTTTTGGGCCAAATGCGGGAGCCAATTGCACACAGCAGTGTCCCAAACAGTCGTGGAGTAAGTGACCAAATTATGTATTTATAAGGATATATTATCCCTGGAAAAGTGATCCGCCAATCGACTAACAACCGGGTTCCTACTTACTGCCAGGTAAACAGAGGCGTGTGGAGTAAGGAAACTTGCCTAATGTTTCACTCTGCCCAGGAATCGTAAGTTGGGTCCTCTCACTTGCGAGGCAAGTTCTCTAACTACTAACTTACAGGACCCCATTTCTGGGGGATGGCAAATGCTTTACTGGGCGTTTTATAAACCTGGGAACTTTCACTGCAGAAAACTGTGGAAAAAGCAGATGGACATAAATGGAGCTAAAAAAAAATCAACGCAGGGTGATGAATTAAAGCAGATTGACATTGAAAGCAAGTCGTGTGTGAAATGTCAAGTCCTGATTAAGTGGCAGCGGTTGCTGTTAACTGCCTTTTAATACCACAGATTTCCTCCACCATTTACCATAACATGTCAGTTTTGTCAATGGGCGGAGAGGNAAAAAAATGACATTATTTACAATATGCGACGCGTTACAAATCCCACATTTCAGGGAGAGGCGAGCAACTTGTTTGGAATTTAAAAAAATCCTACCGTGCACCGACCGTCTGACAAATGCATGGGAGATTGATAGCGCTGTTTAGCTGCTGCTCTTTGCTGACACAAAACCCACTTCCTTTTGAATGCAACCATTTGCCTGAAAAACTATTAAATACTGAACGACATTCCTGTACCCAAAACAGAAATATGTTGAATTGTTCCTTGCTACGGCTAAATTAAATCCATGGCCCAACTCCTGGCTTCCAGCCATGGCTAGAGGGACTCTGGCAACAGGCTATCAAGCCTGCTTTATAAGCCACTTGTGGAGTCCTGTAGCTCAATGATTAGAGCACTGGCCTGGGTTCTGTTCCCGTCAGGGCAAAATGTTGGGCAAGTTTCCTTACTCCACAGGCCTCTGTTTACCTAGCAGTGAGTAGGAACCTGGTTCTTAGTCGATTGGCGGGTTGCTTTTCTGTGGATAATAATCCCTCGAAAAACAATAACAATTTGGTCACTCAATTTGGTCACGACTGTGGGACACTGCTGTGTGCAATCGGCTGCCGCGATTCCCCCACAAATCTACAGTCAATTCACTTTACAGTGTATTCTGCGAAGCGCTTTAAGACATCTAGAAGACAGGAAAAGCGCTATATCAAATGCAAGTATTATTATTATGTGCAAACACAGTAGTCAATTGAGCACAGCAGAGTCCCACAACAGAAATCCGCCTACTTACTACTGGGTAAACAGAGAAGCGTGGAGTAAGGAAACTTGCCTAAGGTTTTGCCCTACCTGGGAATCAAACCCATGTCCTCTCGCTTGCGAGGCGAGGTGCTCCAATCACTAAGCTACAGAACTCAACAAAAAGCTTTTTCATAGGCAAAGAAAGGGTGAGGAGCTCGGAGAAACCCACTCTTGTGCACCAAACAGCTAGCTCAAAACAGCTTGAGGATTTCAGTGGAAGCTGTTTTTAAGCCAGCTGTGGTGTGAAAAAAAATCAATAAAGTGGTAGAGAGGAATACATGTCAGGTATTTAAACTTGCCAGTTCGGATACTCTTAAGCGTGGGGATGGGTGTCTGCATGTGTCAAGGCAACCTGGCCGACCCGCTCCAGAAAAAAATCCTGCAAAGCGATTTGAGACGTCTTTCTGACGTAAAAGGCAAGAATTATTATTCTCCCCCTCACCCCACAAAGTGCTCTAAACTGGTACAGAGGACACAAGCTTAGAACATAGAGAATAACCAGGACAAGAAAAAATAACCACTGTGAAAGTTGTACAATGTTAACTATTTTTTTACACTTGGATACAGTCCATAGGGCATTCAAAGAGTCATTAATAACAGAAATTTTCTGGGGAAGTGGACGGTGAGGGACAAGCACAGAACACAGAAACTGCTGCGGAAAGCAACACCAGCGCCCGGACTCCAAACACAAAAATCAAGCCACCTGCTGCGGCAGAGAGAGGAGTGGTAGGAAGACATCTGAGGATGACTTCTCTCTGTAGATGCATTGGTTGTTCCACAGAGCTAGTGATGCGGAGGAATGCCAGCAGCCCGGGCAGAAGTTTAGCGTACTCTGTAGCACGGTGATAAACCCGCACACGCGCACACACACAGAACAGAAAGCAAGGTGCAATCTGGTTCGTGCCATCATGCATGAGAGGATGGATGGTGTGATACAATCTGTCCATTTTCATGAGCTTGGGAGGAAATGATGGGATTCCGCAAACCTCTTAAAATCTTCATTAAAAAGGAAAGCACAACAATCATGCAAATCATCTCGCTGGAGCAGGCTGCCGTAGGAACCTAGCGAAAGTCCAATACACTGATCTCGAACCAGTTTATATCGAAGTCCCACACATATCGACAACATTTGTACCAGGCCTTTCCTTCCCCGTTATGGCAACACGTTAAACTTACCATGTTTCGTGCGCTCTGGGACCCATCCTGCATGAGGAGCGCTACTTAAGTGCAAGTTGTTGTATTTCAAGGTCAAAGTAAATTTCTGTACGCAGAAATCAACAGCGTTTCAAGTCTCTAACAGCATTAAGTATATTGTGAGTGAGGCTCCTGTGTACGACACGTGGGTGCGGTAGGCCCATCACGTGTGGGCTGCCGAACCATGAGGGGAGTGGGTTGACCACAGAATTAGTGTCGGGGAATGATCGGTTGAGGCCCAAGTGTAAACTTTACCAGGCCTGGTCTTAAATCCCCCCCCGTGCATCACATTCCTATTCAAAGGCGAACCCAGACCTCACTGTGCCCGTCACCGGTGTCACACGGAGATTGTCTTACCTGGTTTACTTCACCTTCCAGCCTGGGAGGCCGGATGCTGGAGAGATGGATTGTCTTCAGATCACCAGAGTTCAACTTCACCACTACAGCATCCGCGTTCACAATCTGCATCACCTGAAACACACAAACGCCAGACATATTCCAGTATCACTGTCTCTCTTTACAATCTCAAAATCCTCCCTCCATCCCTCCTGACTTTCCAACAACTTATATGTCGGGAGGGCGTCCCAACAATACTCCTTGCATTTGATACAGCGCCTTATCACGTTGTTGAGATGTCTCAAAGCGTCACACAGAATGTACTGTAAAGTGGATTGACTGTGTATATTGTGGGTGAAACTCGGCGCCAATTGCACACAGCAGCGTCCCACAAACAGTCGTGGACTGAGCGAGCACAATATTATTTTATTTTTTGAAGGGATCGTTACCCCGGAAAAGGGATCCGCTAATCTACTAAAAAAAAACGGGTTCCTACTTACTGCTAGGTAAACAGAGGCGGGTGGAGTAAGGGAATTTGCCTAACTTTTCACCGTGCCTGGGAATCGAACTTAGTGCCTTGGGACTGTTGAGTCTCAAGCCACTGAACAAACACAGAGCCAAATGACATAAGGTTGGCGTCAAGCAGGAACGAGGAGGAATCATCCCTAAATGATTTGAAAAACAATTAACATTTCCCTGGAGAACGCCAGGTTGCACAACAATCCAGCTCAGCAGAAATGACATTCCAGAGCATGTTATCCAGGAACACAGCCAGCCGAGAATGAGGGTAAATGCTTCTAACGTGGGAATCTCCCAGACCGGTGTGAAATGAATGTGGGCTTTGAGCGTAAGCGGGCAGAGAGATAGTAACTAATCTCTGCCCTACACAAAATGCCATCTCCAAGCGCGGCAAGATCCAAGTTTACACAGGGTGTCAGATAAACTAGGAAAAATCATGATATCCAATGCCAATGATAAGCCAGCTTCTGACTGTATCAGGATTTTCAACACAATTAAATCACCACATTCATCCCAACAACAATTTGCACTTACACAGTGCTGTGTAAATAATAATAATAATACTTATATTTAGTATAGCCCTTTCATATCAGGATGTCATTTCAAAGCACTTTGCGGGATATACTGTTATTTGTATACTGTGTATTTGTAGGCAGTTGGTTAACCAATTTGCATACAGCAATGACCCACAAACCACCATGAAATGAATGACGAATTGTAATTGGGGATTGTTGACCGGGGCACCAGGAGAAGCTCTCTTTTCGAATAGTACCGCAGGATCATTAATGCCCACTTAAAACAGGCAGATGCTGCCTCAGTTTAACATCTCATCCAAACTCCGGCACCTTTGCATGAGACATTAACAATGCAGCACACCTCTAGGAGAACATCTCAAAGTGCTTTACAAAGAGGGAGTTTAAACATTGATGAACACAAAATGAGCAGAATCAGAGGGCATGTGAAATAGGTCCTCAACGGGTCCTAACTCTTATTAGGATCACACATATTTCTAACAAATCTAGTTAGCAGCAAGATTCGGTATTCACAACCCTTCAGAAATCCACGTTGAGATGGTTGCATTGTGGAGTCCTGTAGCTCACTGGTTAGAGCGCTCGCCTCGTGAACGAGAGGACCCGGGTTCGATTCCCAGGCAGGGCAAAACGTTGGGCAAGTTTCCTTACTCCACACACCTGTTTACCAGCAGTGAGTAGGAACCCAGTTGTTAGTCGATTGGCAGATCGCTTTCCAAGGCTAATAAGCCGTTCAAAAAATAAAAATAATGTGGTCACTCTTCCACGACTGTATGTGGGACACTGCTGTGCGCAATTGGCTGCCACGTTTCACCCACAAAATATACAGTCAATTCACTTAACAGTATATTCTGTGAAGCGCTTTGAGAAATCTCGAAGATGTGACAGGGTGCTACATCAAATGCAAGTAATATTATTATAATAATAATCTAGTTGGCAGCAAGACTGGGTATTTACAAGACATCAGGAATCCATGTTGAGATGGGTTGCATTACCACCCACACACCTCCCAACATCTCATTGCTGTAAATGATTCAGCTACAGATTATTTAATGGTGATGATAATGGCTGTGATGGAAAGAAACACTGTACCCAGCGGGTTACTATTATGTACTTGTACTAATTCAAGACCAAAGAACCCGCAATGAAAATTTCACACAACAGGCTATGAACCAACTCCTGTTGACAGCGACATCAGATTAGCGCGGCTCCTCTCTGGCTCGGTCGTCGAGATCCTGAAATTAATCTTTCATTACTGCCAACAAAAATAAGTGTGAGCTCCACTCAACCATCATGGAGTCCTGTAGCTCATTGGTTAGAGCGCTCACCACACAAGCGACAGGACCTGGGTTTGATTCTTTGAAAATTATTTGATCTCTTAATCCACGACTACTTGTGAGCAATTGGCTGCTGCGTTTTGTCCACAAAATAGTCAATTCACTTAACAGTATATTCTGTGAAGCGCTTTGAGACGCCTCAAACACATGATAAGGCACTATATCAAATGCAAAGATTATTATTAAAGCAGAGCTTTAAACTCAAGCAACCTATTACTTTTTTTTTAAAGAATAAAATAAGGCTATTTAAAAGCCATTTGAGTCATCGAATCAGAATTTTAGAGGAAAGAAGGAGGCCATCTTCTCATCATGCACATGCTGTCTCTCTGAAGAATCTATCTATTTTGTTCCAGCCCCACCTGCCCTTTCCCCATAACCCCTTTAAACATTTCTCTTCAAATATTTGTTCAACGACCCTTTTAAAACTGACACCACTGCATACTGTAGTCATACCTGAACAAAATGCAACTTTATAAAGGCAATAAATGTAAGATCGAGTAAGGCCAACTGTGTTGAGCTTCCATTTTGTAAGCACACGTTCATCGAGTTGAATGTTTCCCACTGTTAGCCACCATAGATTTAAGACAACCAAAAGAAACCCAAGGTAGGGGTGACAAGAATTTGTGTCTGCTGACAGAGGGTTTATTGAGATATGGAATGCCCAACCAGAAACACTGATTGATGCAGAATCCACACAGCTTTTATGAGGAATTTGTAAAAAAAAAAAGGAAAATATGAATGGAAGAAGGGGAAGAGCAAAGAAATGGGATCAGTGGAGAAGTTTGTTCCCCCAGGTGAACGAGAGTGTCTGAATGCCCCCCTCTGTAATTCCTATTTTCCACAAAGTCATATAAGAAATGCTGGACGAAAAAAGAACAACGTCCATCCAGTTCGCCTTCTACCTTCCAGGGGGTCTGTAAAGTCCTGTTACAAACAATGGGCAAGATCGCTGGCACAGACACCGTGAACGTCCAGAATGTACAGCTCCGTGGTGAAGCACACCACACTACGGCAGGTAAAGCACGCTGAGACATGCCTACCAATGCTAATATGGCATAATTAGGTAACAAGCCGTTTATTTGCATGTCAAAGGCTTTGTGCTACAATCTAGCTAACATGGAAACACCCTGCTGGAGCATGTAATCGAGGGAAGTGAATACAATTAAAAATTATCTCAAGATCACTCCTCTCTATTATCACTTTGCTTGATTGGCAGATTGCTTTCCAGCAATATTAGTCTCTCCCAAAAAAAATGTGGTCACTCAATCCACGACTGTTTGTGGGACACTGGTGTGGGCAATTGGTTGCCGTGTTTCGCCCACAAAATACAGTCAATTCACTTTACTGTATATTTTGTTAAGAGCTTTGAGACGTCTCAAAGTCATAATAAGGCGCTACATCAGATGCAAGGATTATTATTAAGCATCAAACCCAGGTCACAGAGTGGTGTGTGTGGCGACGTGCATGTGTGTGTACACAAGTCCAGCAACCAGAGCACAAGATACTGTGTGTGGATGAGACTGCATGCAAGTTATTCCAACAACAACTTGCACTTACATAGCAGCCTTCACACAGGGCAACGCTTAACAGTGGTGGAGCTGACGCCGAGCCAGGGGGAGGGAGGAGGTGACCTTCAGTACAGAAGAAGATGAAGGTCTTCAGTCATGATCTAAAAGAGTGGAAGGCGGGGATAAGGCAGAGAGACGGAGGAGAGTTCCGAAGCTTCGGGGTATAGAGGCTGAAAGCACAGCTACAGATGGTGGAGCAGAGGGCACGAGGGACAAGCAGGAGGCCAGAGTGGTGGAGTGGGGAAAGAGGAGATCAAAAAAGTAGGGAGGTGCCTACCTCTTCCAAGAACACAAGAGGCAGCACTTTGATTTACTGGGCAGGGCGCAAACTGAGCTGCACTTCAATAAAAACATTTTAATATGAAAAAAAATCTCCTGTTCCACTAAAGTGCGTGTTTGTGGAGTCGTAAAGCTGTCAGACCTTCTGTGGCACAGGCTGCTGGATGATTATGCATTTGATCACAGCAATCACAGTACAGGCTGCCGTGTTCTTTTGAAGGGCAGAAAACTGCGTACAATTACACACACCTTCTGGCACCATTAAAACAGCTCAAACGCGAGGGGACAAGAAAAATGTTGTCAAATGTCAGACAAGTGTGACGACGACGACAACAAAATTATATTTGTAATGCGCCTTTCACGTCAGGAGGACGTCCCGAGGTGCTGCACAGTCAGGGATCGATCAGGGTTGGGATGAGGGAGAGCAGAGGGGGGAGGACGGCGGCTGAAGGCACAGTCAAAAAGGAGGTTCTTGAGTCGTGCCTTGAAGGAGGCAGGAGGGGGAGCGAGGGGAAGGGATTGTGGGATGGAGTTCGAATTCTATCCTCTGAGGGATGGGGATCCAGTGGAGTCGGGCGAGGGCGGGGGTGATGGGGTCACGGAGCCTGGTGTGGGAGAGGACACGAGCTGCAGAGTTCTGGAAGCTCTGCAGCTTGTGGAGAGAGAAGTTGGAGTGGCCGACAAAGAGAGTTTCCGTAGTCGAGCCTTGAGGTGACGAATGCGCGTATGACATGTTATTGACTGTTTGAAAGACAATAGAACAAGGAGCCTAAATATAGATTCTGAGATATTTGGCCCAAACATTTGGACAGGTTTGCGTCAGTGAAAGTAAGATAAATACCTCACTGCTCGGGCAAGCAGAAAGCAACAGCAGTCAGGTAGAATGGAGATGGAGTTAGTTA